TTGCTTGCTTGCTTTTAGGCTTGTATCATAAGTGACTTAAATTCTCCTTAAGCCACATGTGTTGAGCAGAAGTTACTGCCAATGGTAGTTTTAAGAATTCAGCAGTCGAGTGGTAGTGGCGCATGCCTTTAATCCCTGCAGATGCAGGCAGATCTCTGTGAGTTCAAGGCCAGTCTGGTCTACAGAGTGAGTTCCAGGACAGCCAAGGCTGTTACACAGAAAAACTCTGTCTTGAGAACCAATAAATATGGGGGCTGGAGAAATGGCTCAGTGGTTAAGAGAATTGCCTGCTCTTCCAAAGGACCTGAGTTCGATTCCCAGCAACCACATGGTGGCTCACAACCATCTGTAAAGAGGTCTGGCGCCCTCTTCTGGCCTTCAGGCATACACACAGACAGAAAATTGTATACATAATAAATAAATAAAATATTAAAAATAAATAAATAAATAACTATAGTCAGCAATGTACCATTAATGAGGTGAGCATGTGCCATGGGATCACATGCAGCTTGGGGTCATTGTTGACTCAGTGGAGATGCTGTCTTAGTGTAAACCTGCTCAGCCATTTTAGCCGAAAATGGATGGGCAGCTGGGTGCAATGGCACATATCTTTCGTGCCAGCCGCGTTTGGAGGCCTTGGCAGGAGAGTCACCACCAGAGTACGATCGGCCCAGACAACACAGTGATACTGTTTCAGGAAAGAGGACTGGAGGGAGGGTGTGAACAGACCTTTTCCTTGTGCAGCTTTGGATATATGGCCGGCCTTTAGTCTTCATTTTTTGAAATATAACACAATGGTGCAACACAGCTTTTTCTTTGCACAAAACTGTTTGTATTGATTCCTGGATTTGTAACTCTTTCTCTACACCTTTCTCAAGCTTACAAAGGAACAGTCTTAATTCTGTTTCTAGTTGTGTCCCAGGTGGTAGACTGTAGGGTCCAGGCTCAACTTCCAGTGACCTGTACTTAAGTCCACTTGTGAACCTCCTATAGGAGAAGAAGCAGTGGTGTCTCCATATGGGTAACTGGAGCATCTTTTACACACTTGGTACAGTACAGCCAGCCAAGGAAGCTAAGGAACCTTTAGCTCCATGTTTTATTCTGATGTTCAGTCAAGTTTGAGACCATCAGTTGCATTTAGAGTCTGCATGTTGCTAAGCCCTGTTTTTAAGAGGCAATGTCAATTCTAGGGTACTGGCCTTCTTATTTCTTTCTAGGTTGACTTCTTAGCATTATCAAGCCAGATATTTTTAAAAGTATTACTCCTGATGATTAGTTTTTTTGTTTGTTTTGATTTTGGTTTTTTGAGACAGGGTTTCTCTGTGTAACAGGTCTGCCTGTCCTGGAACTCATGCTATAGAGCAGACCAGCCTTGAACTCACAGAGATCCGCCTGCCTCTGCCTCCATCATGTGCCACCATCGCCTGGCTCCAGCCTAGTATTTTTACTTTTTAAAAAAGGTTAAAAGTTGACTGTGGTGGCACATGCCTTTAATCCCAGCACTCCGGAGGCAGAGGGGGCTGGATCTCCAGGTTCACAGACAGCCTGGTCTACACGTATGTGGAAAGTTAGTTCTATGGAGTGAACTCGGGTTGTCAGGCTTAGCAGCAAGCATCTTTCCCTACTGAGCCATGTTGTCCCTGTGACAGCGAATATTCTTAGAAGACGATTTGGAATAGTGTTGATTAAACTTTAAAGGGCTTAGCTTTCCTGTTAGTTTGGCACATAAGAAACCCAAGACCTAAGTGCTAGTGGTTTAGTATGGTAAGAGATTATTTCTTAGTTTCCAGACAGCTGTTTTGTGGCACTGCCCTCGTGTGGCAGATAGAAAACTAGTGTTCTGCTGGTGAGGTCTGTTTTAGCTCGTATAGAACGACCTCCACATTCTTGACCTAACTGGCCAAGGGTCCAACCCCCTAGGTACCATTCCACTAGAGTTTAAGTAGGAGACCCAAACATGTTAGCTTTTTATGACTAAGAACCCGTTCTGTACTCGGGAGATGAAGTAAAATTAACACCTTTACCCCAGGGGTTGTAGCATGTTTCTAGGAGACAACTGGTGTAGCTGGAAAGGTGGCTCGGCAGGCCAGAGCACTTGATGCTCCTACAGAGAACCTCCAGCTCCAGGGGATCCCATGCCCTCTGCTGACCTAAAGGCTTGTGTGTGTGTACATGTGTGTCAGACACATATACATAAGTAGAAATACATAGTTTTTTTAAAAGTCTTTCCCACAGAGCAGGGTACCCTGCCCTCTCTTAGGACTGGAGGGGGAAAGAGGAGGGTAAATGGGGGAGGAGGGAAGTGATGGAGGAAGGTCATTGGTTAAATAAAGAAACTGCCTTGGCCCTGATAGGACAGAAAATTAGGTAGGTGGAGTAAACAGAACGGAATGCTGGGAGGAAGAGGAAGTGAGCTCATACGCCTTAGCTCTTCTCCTCTCTAGGGCAGACACGATGAAGCTCCGACCCAGGATGGACGTAGGCTAGAATCTTCCTGGTAAGCGCACCTTGTGGTGCTACACACATTAATAGAAATGGGCCAAGCAGTGTTTATATGAATACAGTTTGTGTGTCGTTATTTTGGGGCATAAGCTAGCCAGGCGGCCGGGAGCTGGATGGCAGGAACGCAGCCGCGCAGCTCCCTCAACAGGGAAGTAGGTAGAAAGTTTGAATGGTATTATTTGTAAAGCAATAAAAAAGAATTTAAAAAAAAAGTCTTTCCCTGCACCCCACCTTGTGAAAATGATATCAGTTCTGTGTATGCATAGATGAGTGACTTTCTATTGGTATCTAACCTAAAGCAAGTCTCCAGCCCATGCTAGCCTCCTGCCTTAGCCTAAGGAGGATTATAATCCACCACACTGGCTTTGAGTCCTTGGGCATATCCACCACTAAAAGGTTTTAAAGGCTGTACTGTCTGAGCCAGTTATCACTAATGGTGACCACCACCTTCAATGAAGCCCAGGAGCCATTCTTGGGTTGCCCTCAGTTCCTTTCATTCCTGAATGCTGATGAGTCTGAGGAGAGCTTGAACTGGCTTAGTGACTTGCTCAGGGTTACAGAGTAAGTGTTCAGGGCTGTGACTGGGCTCCTGCTGCACATGGTGACCCCAGTTTGGTCAGGCCCATATTTTACAGTCCCAGCGTGACTAGTGTTAAATGTTTTCACCCCCAGCTTGTTCTCGTCATGTTATTTTCTTCCTTCTCTCATCCTAACTTTGAGTCAAACAGGAGGAAGAAAATGTGTGTTTAGGTTTAAGGAGTATTCTACAAGTGGTCTTCTGTTCCCTTTCCTTTCTACTTTATCTCTGTCCCCTGGGGGGTGGGACTGGCTTTGAATTAGTTAACAGAAGTTTTTTGAGGACATTTGTCTTGTTCAGCCCCCAAACATGGACATTTGACACTCTGTCCTGTGTGTAAGCATTCATTGAAATTTTGAGCAAATCTGGTGTATTAAGAAGAGCAGTTTTGAGCCAGGTGGTGGCACACGCCTTTAATTGTAGCAGTCAGGAGGCAGAGGCAGGAGGATCCCTGAATTTGAGGATAGCCAGAGAAGCTACACAGAGAAATCTGTCTGGGGATCGAGAGGAATAGTTTTGTCTGCTCCGGTGCAATCTGGCTGCATGCAGAATGTACTGTTTCCCAACTCTTGTCCTTGCCATAGTAATTTCCTTACTGATGTAGGTTGTATTACACTCTTCATAGATCTTATAATTAGAGGGGAAGCTTTACTACTTTTGTTAAGGTGCTTGGATACAAAGCACTCTGGAAGCCAATGCAATGTTTAAGAAAGATACTCTAGCCAAATGAGGGTATAACCAAACATATTTAACAAGAATAGGGTTTGGTTAATGGCTTATTTAACTAAAGTGAAAACTGATTACACACTTGACATTCTCCTTTCTCATTCACATTAGTTTATAAAATAAAAAGTCTAGTCAACAAGATGGGATTACAGATGACCCAGCATTTGTGGGAGCTGAGTCAAGAGGATCATGACTTCTAAGCCAGCCTGGACCACTCTGTTTTGGGGGACCAAAAGTGGAGGAGCTTAGAAATCTGTTGGCTAAAGCAATAGTGTGTGTGTGTGTGTGTGTGTGTGTGTGTATGTGTGTGTACATGTTCATAAATGTGCATGTGGAGACTAGAAGTCAACCGTGTATGTCTTTATCTCAATCTGGAGTTCACTAATAGGTTAGCCTGGCTAAACTCTGCCAAGCACTTTAGTAGGGCGAAGATTATGGAGAAAGAGCACAAGGAAGATTCAGTCTGTGAGTCAGAAAATGAGACTCTTGGCACTAGCGATAGTTACAAGAGATGGTGCAGCTCTGAGAAAACTTGTCACTGGATGACAGATGAGGACATGATCTGTCCTAGGCGTGGTTGAAGAGAAGGCTTTATTGTAGGAAGAAGGGGGAGAACAGGCAGAAGCATCTGGGAGAGTCCAGACTGAAGCTGGCCAGCAGACCAAACAGGGCCATGCCCAGGAGTGGAGGGAGATGAGAAAGAAGAGAGACAAGGGCAAGGGAACCAAGAGAGAAACCAGAAAAGCCAGTAGAGTTCGTGAACCTAGAGCCCATAGTCAGAACAGCTGAGTTATAATGTAGTGGAGCTGGGAGAAGGGAAGCAGAAGCCAGCCCCTGGGAAGGAGGGGCTAAGGGGAGGGGGAGGGATGAGAAGTGCTAGGAGGAGACACACATACTGAGTGAGTGAGACTTGTTCTGGGTTTCTTGAGATCACCAACTTAGCTTCCAAGACACATCTTTAATTGCTGTTACCTTACATGTAAAGACGTTTGAGAGTTGAAAGTATGTCTGGTTATAACTAGTAAGCTTAGCATGGACCAGATGTTATTCTGTCATGGTTTACTTTCTGATGGATGATGAGTTTATACCACAGTCTTTATGAAGAGTACCCAGACATTAAACCAAAAGGATGGGGGGAGGCTCTTTTCTGAGATGGTGTTGCTGTCCTTTATCTGCTGGTGGTGTTATTTTTCAGTGCTGGTCCCAAAGGTGACAACATCTATGAGTGGAGATCAACCATTCTCGGGCCCCCGGGATCTGTGTATGAAGGTGGTGTGTTCTTCCTCGATATAACTTTTACACCAGAGTATCCCTTCAAGCCTCCAAAGGTAAGAAATCTACATATTCCCAGATTTGACTGTTTCTGTAAAAGATACATTAAAACTTTTAAAATGTAGTCACAAAAGCTAGATTTCTTCCATGTTTGTGTTGGTGTCCTCCTTACCCATGGGCACTCCATTTTAGTAAAGTCTATGATTTAGGTACGGCCCAGATCTGAGCTTCTTGGGTGTGCAGTGTTTGCTAGTTTTAGTGAATGTGGTGACTGCTGATTTTGGCTCCTCAGTTGGCAACAGGCATGTCTAGGGGTACGTGCTGAAAACCTGTGCTGTTTATAGTCAGTCTTATAAGATGTGTAGCTTACTCAAAAACAGTGTATTACTACCAGCTAACACAAGAGGTCAGCAAACAACTAACAATTCAAACTTAGAAATACTCATATTTAAAGCATTAAAATTAAACTAAACATGTCATCCCAACACTCTGGAAATGGCAGCAGGCAGGAGGATCAAACATTTGCAGTATCGTCTGGGATACATAGTATGAGCTTAGCCTGATCAAGAAAAGAAAAACCCTACTTGACGGTGTTGACACACACCTTTAATCCCAGCAGAGGCAGGCAGATCTCTGTGAGTTTGAGGCCAGCCTGGTCTACAGAGTGAGTTCCAGAACAGCCAGGGCTGTTACACAGAGAAACCATGTCTTGAAAAAAAGCAAGAAAGAAAAAGAATAGAGTAAGTGTTGGACTCCCTTTGCCTTTGGCAATTGGCATTGCCTTAAAATGAAAGGAGATGGTGTGAGCAAGCTCTGTAGCCTTACAGCCAAGTCTTATACATCTTAGGGATTAGTCAGCTGAAATACAGTACAAAGTCTCCTACCTGAATGCTCTTTGACAATAACCTTATTTTTAGGTTACATTTCGTACAAGAATTTATCACTGTAATATTAATAGTCAAGGAGTTATTTGCTTGGACATATTGAAAGACAACTGGAGCCCAGCACTAACCATCTCGAAAGTTCTCCTCTCTATCTGCTCACTCCTTACAGACTGCAATCCTGGTAAGGCTGATCATCTTCAGTGCTTTGCTTTTTACTAAATGAAAAGGTACTTGTCTTCCACATAAACTAAGACCCAAATTTTCAAAGGACATTTTAATTGAGAATTTAACCCACTAGTTGAAAAAGCAACTATTCTAAGTTAGCACTGAGGCTGGGTGGGTGGGTGGCTCTGTTGCCTCCCTGTTTGGGTAGTGGTTCCGTGAGCACTTGCTCCACAGACAGTTCCCACTTTTGAAAGTGGTATTTTTCTGCCAAGTATGTGGTGATTGCAGAATTGTAATCTTACTGGGACTAATCATTTTAAAATAAAAAGAAATTATTTTTCTGCTTTCACATACAAATTTATTAGGCATTCCATTTTCAGAGAAGCACTTCTATTTGGCCTTCTCCAGGATACAGAGTACAATATATACAGAGTACAATATATACAGAGTACAGTAGATAGTGTCAATTGCACTGGGCACAAAGACTTCACAGCATCCACAGTGCTCTAATCAGTGAGCAGAGCTGGTCCTGGAGCTCTGGATGTCCAGACTTGTAAGTTTGGTCATACACATGAAGAACAGGAGTGTTACTTGTTGGGAGAGAAAAGAATAAGAAAATACAGCCAGGCCACTCCATTTTTTAGCAAGACTCCTCCCATCCTCCCTTGTTTTACTTTATATTAAGATTAGAAGATGGGGCTGGAAAAATGGCCCATCTGTTAAGAGCAGTTATTCTTGCAGAGAGCCCAGGTTCAATTCCCAGCCTCTGCATAGCAGCCCACATCTACAGCATGCAGGCAGAGTAGCCATACACATAAAACAAATCTTTTTAAATTTGTTTTTTAACAATTAGAAGAAAACCCCCTGGTGAGTGTTTCAGGCATAGGGCATGGTCATAACTGTTTGCTGTATGTTTCTATCTAAAGTGTCTACACCTTTTTCTTTCAGCTGACCCTTTGGTGGGAAGTATTGCCACTCAGTACATGACCAACAGAGCAGAACACGACAGAATGGCCAGACAGTGGACCAAGAGATACGCTACATAAACTGGGTTTTCAGTTCTTACATTATCTGTCTGTCACAGAAGAGAGCTGCTTATGATTTTGAAAGGGTGGGGGAGGGTGGGAATTGGTAAAGAGTAGGGTATTTCTATAACAGATATTATTCAGTCTTACTTCCTAAGATTTTGTTGTAACTTAAGGTATCTTGCTACAGTAGACAAATTGGTAATAGTGACTTTTAGAGCTGTCAGTTTTGCGAGATTAGCTTACTTTTAGTACAACAGGAAAGAATGCGCGTGTAGACACTTGGGTTTCATTGAGTGTAGTCTACTGTAATTTCTAAATGAGCTTACATTTGTATAGGTTACACACTTGGCCATTGATGCAAAGTCCTATTTTCTTCTTTTAAAAAGTTGGAATTTGTTTTTCCTTCTTAGAGGAAAACAATGGTATTTAACAGTTTGTAGAGATTGTTACCTCGTATATGTAAAATGGACACCTGGCTATGAGACACCATGTAGGAAACGAGTAGTTAATGTATTTTATTTCATATGCAAGTTACTTTAAAGGTTGAATCAGGATTTGTGGAACCCTGTAGTGAAATACCTTAAGCTGTTAACTGTAGGCGTGAAATAGGAACTGCTCAGTGGACTGGTTATGTGTTTTAGACTTCTTATGTCTGCATTTGTTACTGTGCTAATAAACAATATTAAGAACAACCCTGACCCGGCTGTGTTCATTTCCTCTCTGTGCATGCGGTACCTGAAGAAGTCAAAAGAGGACACTGGATCCCATGGAATCAGTTACTGGTGGTTGTGAGCCACCGTGTAGGTACTAGCAATTGAACCTGGGTCTTCTGCAAGAGCATCAGTCTTAACTACTGACCAATCTTTCCAGTCCTATTCAACCTTCGCTACTGAAAGGGTGTTTGCCATGCAAGTCCAGCAGCTTGAGTTCAGCCTCTGGAACTTAGGCATAGATGGAAGAAGAAAAGTGGCTGCACACACACATCCTAGACATACAGGAATAAGCCTTTTTGAAATTATGTTCACGGTGAGGAATCTGCATGAAATTACAATGAGTATGACAGTTCCTGACAGGCTGGAAGGTTCCCATGGAACATCGCATACATTCCATATTTTACTATTAATGACAAGTACAACATAAATAACAAAGATAAAATATGTCTAACAGTAATAAATAAGCACAATAAGTTAATTATAGTGTAAAGTGCATTGAATTACCACTTAGGCCCGGAGGTGGTTTTGTAAAGGGCCATGTTACATCATAACTGTGCCATGCTACAGACATTTCAAGATCTGACTCAGTTTTCAGAATTGGAATTCCCTTTGTTCTTCCTGCCGGGCAAAGGGAAGCTGGATTTGCTCTGGGGCTGGGAGAGCTTGCTGGCTAGTAAAGTGAAGGGTTCGATCAGCGTCCTCCGGTCTGTCACCGTCACCTCCCACAGTTTCACCTTCTCGCTTTTTGCCCACCGCTGTGCCACTTCAGCGTCTACTTGTCTCTGCTCGGAGAGGTCGATTTTGTTTCCCAGCACGACAATTGCCACCTGAGGGAAAATGATGGGAAGACCGCACTGGGACACTGCGAAAGGGACAAACAAGGATTGCTCCTCCACTTGGCAGACTGCTTTACTTAAATGACAGAGCCAGTAATCTCAGCTGCTCTGGAGTTGAGGCAGGAGGACTGAAAGTTCAAAGGGCAACTTAGTTAGACCCTGCCAAAAACAAAGTTTAAAAACTAAAAGACTGGGGACGTAGAGAATTTAACTAGTAAGCATGAGGCCAGATTAATCCCAGTACTAAGCTGGTGCTGGTGTCCTTAGGTATGAGAGAAAAAAGAGAAGGCATCACCTCACTTTTTCCTGAGTGCATACAGACAGTCTGTATATATTTTTTAAAGGTTTAGGTTTATTAATTTTTTTCCTTTTCCTCTTTTTGAGATTTATTTATTTGCTATATATGCAGTGGTGAGAGAATTCCAGGCAGAAGGAAAGTGGCAAATAGGTGGGAGCTGATGACTGGTTATTAGCTTTGGGGCAGGGGGAGGTGTTAAATGACAAGAGCCCTATTTTGCCACAGACATCCTAAAAGCCTGAAGAAGCAATGATCGCACACATGACTAAGAAGCAGTGATGGCACACATGACTAAACTATGTAGGGCCTGAGCTGGGAAGCGAGAAAAGCACCTTGGACAGTGTAACCCAGAAAAAGGCAGAAAGTGATGCTTGCGCTGTGGGCTCAGCCAGTCCCCACACCCTGTGTCTGCAGATACTGCTAATACAAGTGGTTTCTAAGTGTGTGCACCCTACCCTACAATTCTAACAGATCTGAAATAGCCACTCACCTCTTTCTTGTCTTTGAATTTATCGATTTCCTTCTTCAGAAGCTCCACCCTTTGAAAGGACTCCAGGTTATTCACACTGTACACAAGAACAAAGCCGTCAGCGAAAGAGAAGTAATGCTTTGGCAGTTCCACACCTTCCTGCAGGCCTCGCGTGTCGTATAAGTGGAGCTGTTCCTTTACCCCGCGGTCTGTCTCCACCGAGGCCATGTACACGTCTTCCATCGTCTCGCAGTCCTCCATGCCTGCATTAGAAGGCACCAGGGTCAGTTATTCACTAGTTCCCTTTCCCACTGAGCTGACTTTCTAGGTCTCCATATGCAATAATCACACTTTACTGATTTCTTCAAAATGAAAAGTAGTTATTCATCCAAAAGTGTATTTTTTGGACCGTCATGATGGCTCTCAAGCATAGTGACCTGAGTTCAATTCCCAGGACCTACTAAAGCTAGAACCGACTCCACAGGGTCATCCTTTAATCTTTTTCAGAGGCACATGTGCCCCGTCGACCCACCAAAACACACACATACCTTTTTTTTTTTTTTTTTTTTTTTTTTCCGAGACAGGGTTTCTCCGTAACTTTTTGGTTCCTGTCCTGGAACTAGCTCTTGTAGACCAGGCTGGCCTCGAACTCACAGAGATCCGCCTGCCTCTGCCTCCCGGCCGGTGGTATACACTTTTAATCCTAGCCCTTGGGAGACAGAGGCATGGGGATCTCTGTGATTTCAAAGTTAGCCTGGTCTACAGTGACTTCCAGGATAGCCAGCCTCAAAAAAAAAAAAAAAAAAAAAAAGGTTTCTTCTTATAGCATTGGGGTGACACACTTATAAATCCAGCACTTGGGTGGTGTAAACAGGAGGACCAGTAGTTCAACGTCAGCCTCAACTTGTAGGAATCTGAGGCCAGCTTGAGCTACATGACACCTTGTCTCAAACAAAAACTTTCTTTTGGCCTTATTAGAATTAGCCTAGCATTAGGTCTACAAAAAAATGTAAATTTTTATCTTCTATATAAAAATGACAATAAAAAACCGGGCAGTGGTGGCACACACCTTTAATCCCAGCACTCAAGGAGGCAGAGACAGGCGGATCTCTTGAGTTCGAGGCCAGCCTGGTCTAATAGCAAGTTCCAGGACAGGCAAGGCTACAGAGAAACCTGTCTCAAGAAAAAAACAAAAAAAGTCATCAAAATAATAAAAGATAAAATGTGCTCTAAGCTATGTACCAAGAAAGAAATGCTTTAAAGATCTGTATTTACTCTTTTACATAAACCTAAGTTCATTTAACTTCTCTACCAAAATCATGACCTCACTTAAGCCAGAAACATTATCTTCACCTCTGCAGATCTATAAAGCATTGTCATATACAGTATGATAAAACAGGAAACTGCTCATCGAAGGAATAAATGAGATAGTCCCAGGTTACTAAATTGGGTCACACTGTAGCAAACACCATTTTTTCAGTTTTAAGCCTATACAGCACTAGACCACTGTGACTGAAGAATGGCATCGGCGTTGCTACGGCAGAGACCCTAGGGTTCCTAGACCCTTCTGATGCAGGTGCACAGCGCCCGTTTTCATATTTTCCATGTCTGCCTGCCACTTGTTTCTGACCTGCTAGATAACCTGCAGAAGCACTGCTGGACTTCAACAAAACCCAATTTCCTTGTCCCTACTCGGTCTCCTTTACACCACTTAGCGTGACCAACACGTGTCCTGCCCCAGTTCTAGATCTAGAGAGAAACAAAGACGGATGATCTTACCGATAGTATGATTCCCATAAAGGAGTTGCTCCAGAATGGCAGTTTTCCCAACAGACAACAACCCACAAACGACAACCTTGCAGCCCTTTCCCATCTTCTCTTGCGACAGCACTGTGGAAAAAAGAGAGGGCACCTTATCCTGGACACGCTGAAATAAATCCCTTTCTCTTCCTTAAAGTTTAAGTTGAACCAGTAATAAAGGGGAAACTCCAAACAGTAGAAGGGTGATAGAGAATAAGATAATCTTTCCACATGCCATTCCCCAGGCTCTCTGTTAAGAATGTCTTATAGATTGCCACAGAATCGTCTGGATAGACTCTAAAGACACCTGAATGGAGATGTGTGCAATCCCAGCACTCGAAAGGCAGAGGAGGACCAGTGCCAGCTACATAGTGAGTTAGAGACCAACTTGACTGTTGATATCTATGCATGGCTGCTCATGCCTACAATCCCAACCCTCTGGAATAGACGCAAAAAGTGCTGAGACTGGAGAATTACCATGAGTAAGGTACCATTTTCCTTAAGGCTTTTGTTTTTCCAAAAGACAGGATAGTGGCAGCTAAGGTAAATGGTTCAGTAGAAACAGCAGAAAAGTCACTTTTAAAAAGTCAAATGGGGGCTGGAGAGATGGCTCAGTGGTTAAGAGGATTGTCTGCTCTTCCAAAGGTCCTGAGTTCAATTCCCAGCAACCACATGGTGGCTCACAACCATCTGTAATGAGGTCTGGTACCCTCTTCTGACCTTTAGGCATATACACAGACAGAATATTGTATACATAATAAATATTTATTTAAAAAAAAAAAGTAAGTCAAATGGTCCAGGTGGTGGTGGTGCACGCCTTTAATCTCTGTACTTGGGAGGCAGGGGCAGGTGAATCTCTGAGTTCAAGGCCAGCCTGAGTTCCAGAACAGGCTCCAAAGCTACAGAGACACTTGTCTCAAAAAAACAAAATAAGTAAATAAATTAGTAAAAATAAAAGAAAATAAAAAGTCATATGGTAGGGCTGGAGAGATGCCTCAGAGGTTCATTCAATTCCCAGCACTCACATGGCAGCTCAAAACTGTCTAACTCCAGTTCCAGGGGATCTAATACCCGCCCGCCACACACATACACACAAACATACATAGAGGCAAAAGACCAATGAAAATAGTAAAGAGAAAAAGGTCGAATTGTAAGCCAGCAGGCATGGTGGTGCAGTCCTTAATTGTGGCATGTGAGTTTGACAGAGCCTGGTCTATATAGCAAGTTCCAGGACAACCAGAGGTATATAGAAAAACCCTGTCTCAAAACCCAGCTCACCAATGGGGAAAAATACCTGCTACCCAGTCTGATGAGCTGAGTTTGATAACCAGTTCCCACAGGTTGTCCTCTCAACTTCTGCCTTTACATGCATGCACAAATTAATAAGTGTAATTTAAGAAAATTTTTGAGATGGTCTCACTGTATAGCTATGGCTGTCCTAGAACTTACTATGTAGACTCAGAGATTCTCCTACCTCTACATCCCAAATCCTAGGATTAAAGGTGTGAACCACTCTGCGTGACAAAAAACAAAAAAACAAAAACAAAACACCTTTTAAGGGGTCATAGCAATAGCTCCATGGTTAAGAGCAACCAACTGTTCTTGCAGAGGACCTGAGTTTGATTCCCAGCACCTACACAGTGGCTTAATGTATAAGGGTTTTTTGCCAGCAAGTATGTGTGTGTGCCATACTCATGCCTGGTACCCTTGGAAGCCAGGAAGAGGGTATCAGATCCCCTGGGACTGAAGCTAAACTGCAATGTGGGTACCAGGGTCCCCTAAACCAGTGAACCACCTCTCTAGCTCTCCACCCCCAATTTATAGAAATGGACTCCCAAAAATGCCCCCCCCCCCCGTTCTAATCCTGGAAACCTTTGAGACCTTACTTTAGAAGGAATTTTGCATGTGGATTGAATTAGCCTTGAGACACAGAAATCAAGATGGAGGTGGAGATCTCCACAGGGGTATTTATGAGAAGTTTTAAGGAGAGGGAATGATTGAGTGCAAGGTGAGAGACGCCAACAGCCAAGAGAGGCAGGCGGCCTTCGGCTGCTGTTCTTTCTGACACCCTGAATTTTTTAAAATTTATTTGTATTTAATGTTCATTGGTATTTTGCCTGCATGTATGTCTGTGTGAGGGTATCAGAACTCCTGGAGCTGGAGTTACAGAGAGTTGTGAGCTGCGTGGGTGCTGGGAATTGAACCCGGGTCCTCCAGAAGAACAGTCAATGCTCTTAACTACTGAGTCATCTCTCCAGCCCCAACACCATGACTTTCACCTAGCTTTATTTCTGATTACAATCTATAAAATGATGAGTGCTTTATGTGAGCCATTAAACGTATTGCAGTAGAGGCCAGGCGGGGCGAGCACAGCCTCCTGACTTGAGGGGAAAGCAAAGAGGGTCTGTGCAGGTTTGAGGCTAGTCTAGACGATCCATCAAGTTTCCAGGACAGTTAACGTTACATAGAAAAATAAAATCTGATCCTGAGGGCTGGAGAGGCTCGGTAGTTAGAGCACTTTCTCATTCAGGTCCCAGCACCTACATGTGTGGTTCAGTTCTGGGGTGCACATACATACATGCAAGCAAACACACATAAACTAAAAATAAATCTTAAAGAAAACAAGAATTTTCTAAAAGAGAAATCATATTTTAAAATTTAACTAATCTATTTTACATCCCACTAGAGTTTCCGCTCCCTCCTCTCCTCCCATTCCCTCTGCCCCACCCCCTACCAACCTTGGCCACAAACAAGAGCAGACTTTATTAAAACCACACGACTATATGAAAAAAGAAAATTCTGGAGCTGCAAAAACGCCAGCAAACCATTATCTCTTAATAAAGAACGCAATGCAGAATGCCAGCATCCTGGGCATTTCTTCCTGAAACAGTTGCACTTAAGGAGGCTTAGCAAATGAAGAATTTGCTATACTAAAACCATCGTTCTGACCTTAGCACCTCCGACTCCTATACACCCCAGGAAGGGCAGGAGGAGGCGGCCTGGTCCCGCAGATCCCCGGCGGGCTTCACGGACACGCGCGGGGCCTACGCGTGCAGCCACTTGCGCCTACGCCCACCCGGTGGCTGTCCTGCTGTCACGCTGCTCCGGGATCACGAAACGGAGCCGGCGGAGACACCAACCTGGCACCACGGGGCAGAGAGACAGAGGCACGCCGGTCACTGCGGTCCCCGACTTGCCTCCTCAAGAACCGCAGCAGTGACGCCTGCGGGCTCAACGCCTCCCGCAGCCTTTGCAGTTCAGAGGCGACGCTGAGAGCGCGCGGGGGGGAGGGGGGGGTCGGAAAACCACCGGCTTGGATATTGGAACTACAAGCCCCATTAGGCCGTGCGCGGCCACTCCCTCCCCACCGGAAGGAGAACCGCCGAGGCGGAGGGAGGAGCCACAAAAGGGATTGTGGGAGAAAGGCTTCTTCCTTTCCTCTGACGGCGGCCATCAGGTAGGCAGGTCGGGCGGGATTTGCGTTTCTATCCGTGGCGAATCGCGCCGGTCTTCAGCCATCCGGGCCCGGCGGCATCGCCGCCTCTGAGCATCGTCCTCCCGCGAGCGTTCAGTCAGGATGCGGGGTGGAGCGGGCGCGGAGTCGCAGCCGTCCGGGAGGCTTGCGGGAGACGCGATGGCGGCAGGATCCGAGCTGGGCCCGGGCCTAGAGGAGGCCTGGCTGGAGCGAAACTCGCCGGCGGTGACGATCGCGTCCCCAAGTCCGGCTCCTCGGACCCGCCGCTAGCGCCGAGCCGTTCCCCGTGGACGGAGCGGTTCTGGTCGCCGCCTTCCTGACCGCCATCGCCCTGCGATGTGCTTCTCCCCCCCCCCCCCGAAGGTGAGCCAAGATGGGCGCGTACAAGTACATCCAGGAGCTGTGGCGGAAGAAGCAGTCGGACGTGATGCGCTTCCTGCTGAGGGTCCGCTGCTGGCAGTACCGCCAGCTGTCCGCGCTGCACCGGGCTCCCCGTCCCACCCGGCCCGACAAAGCGCGGAGGCTGGGTTACAAGGCCAAGCAAGGTGCGTGGTGGCCCGAGATGTCCCGAGTGGGCGATCCCTGGTTCCCCCAACCCCTGCCCCGGGGGAGCCGGAAATCCTCGGTGTGGGGCTGCACCCCCATCCTCCCGCGGTGTCACTAGCTCAGTACTGAGTCTCATCTGTCGGCGGTGGGTTTGTCCCTGTCCAGGTTACGTCATATACAGGATTCGCGTCCGCCGTGGTGGCCGAAAACGCCCGGTGCCCAAGGGTGCGACCTACGGCAAGCCTGTCCATCATGGTGTGAACCAGCTAAAGTTCGCCCGAAGCCTTCAGTCTGTTGCTGAGGTAAACGGATGGGGTACTGGTTGTCCTGGCAACCCGTTAGGGGTTGTGGGCTGGAAGAAATGGAGACCACGGTGGAATTTGACTGGGCGCAAGGTGGGCTTGGAGGTGTCTTGTACTTAACCTTGGCAAAGAGCAGCTATTATCAAAACTCTTACTACTGCTTGGTGCTTAGGTTTTAGGTTTATACTAAGTAGATTTTCGTTTGTTTTATTAGTGAGCTAGGTCCTGGCAGAGCCTAAGCTTTTGAAGGTGGTAAATTTTTGAGCTGTTCTCATATTACATTTAGTTATGTTGCTAATATAATGTTTTTCTTCTGGACTACTAAGTTGTGTTCTGTGGTCAGGGACCCCTTTCCAAAAGCTGGAAGCTTTTTATTCATTGACAATTGTATAAGGCCATGGCCCTGACCCCTGTTGCTGGAGGGGACTGTGACAGAACTCCATGTCCGGTGTTTGTGTGGTTTTGTTGGGCGGGAGATTAAGAAGGATGATGTTTCTGACTGCATACCTGTCTTTTACACTGGGCTTTAGTGTGGGGGGGACTTGGCCTGCTTTGGTCTCTGGTGATGCAGAGTTGGGAGGAAGGATTTTTGTCTGAGTTGTTGCCGTGGGCAATACGGAAGACTGACTGGGCTTTTCCCCGTTTTAGGAGAGAGCTGGACGCCACTGTGGGGCTCTGAGAGTCCTGAATTCTTACTGGGTTGGCGAAGATTCCACATACAAATTTTTTGAGGTTATCCTCATCGATCCATTCCATAAAGCTATCAGAAGAAACCCTGACACCCAATGGATCACCAAACCGGTCCACAAGCATAGAGAGATGCGTGGGCTGACATCTGCAGGCCGCAAGAGCCGTGGCCTTGGAAAGGGCCACAAGTTCCACCACACTATTGGTGGCTCTCGCCGTGCAGCCTGGAGAAGGCGCAACACTCTGCAGCTCCACCGTTACCGCTAATATACGTAATGTTTGTACAATTCATACCCAATAAACAATTTAGGACCGTCCTGTCTGCTTAAAGGTGTTATTTGTCTGTTAAGACTGTCGCAGATTGTCATGAGTGTTTTGTGGATTATAGCGGTTAAAGTGCAATGATGTTTGAAGATTACAGTGATGGTATATCTTGTTTCTGGTGACCTTTCTGTCTGCATTACCTGCTTAGGGGGTTCGGTGTATGGTTTACACCATGTGGTATCCTATGTATGAAGGACTTGCCCTGTAGAAGTGTTTGGTGCATGTGATATAGAACCTGCAGCTTTCTTGGGATGATAAAGTCGTCTAGTCACTGAAGTGCTGCTTGCTTTAGAGTTGGGATTTTGCTTAGAAATGTAGGAAGAGAAGCTTCCAGCTTGTTTTGTGAACATGCTTAGACAAGGGAGTTCAGCTACAACCCACAATTTGAGATTGAATCCAGTGCCCCATTTTCAGTAGAACCAGGTAAAATTGGAAGAGGCTTCCGTATTCTGTTGAATCTCAGGAGGATGAGCTTGATGTCCAGTAATCGGTATTGACACCTTGGTGTTTTGAAGGTTGTGGTGATTGAATTTTGGGTGGGGTGAGGTTGCCCTCAGCAGATAATTTCCATTAGCATTTGTAGTCCAGTGATGGGTGTCATGTGGGCTTCAATTAATGCTAGTCAAGTGAACTCTAAAAAGTTGTGGTCAAGATAGTATCCAGCCGTTAGGAAGCTTCTAACCACATAACAAGGATGGTTGGGTACTTAAAGGTCAATCCTGGGCCAGTCAATTCATCTTGGGGGTAAGGAAAGCAGTTGGCCATATGACTTCATTAGTCTTTCCTTTGGTAGTGGTTGGTGGTACTTGTCCCAGGTATATTTCTCAGAGGTTGACATTTAACCAAGGCCACACATAACTACCAAGTTTTGTTTGTGCCATGCTTTGGACTAGGTCCCAGGATGAGTATGGAATGAATAGACAGTACAGCCCTTATCAGGGATCTGGGCTAGTGGGTTTAACAATCTAATTGAAGCTTTTCTTAAACTCTTTCTCTTCAGATTTCTAAAGGATTTTACTGATTTCCAGAAAATACTAGATAAAAATCTTGACCTAGAATTCTTTTATATTCGGCAAAACAAATTGTATAGAGGTTGTTCAACTAAAGTAATAAATGTCTGTTAAACAAGTGTACCTTATGTTATCATTTATGTAAAAGCAAATGAAAACCTGCACAAGATGCTTATGGTAGAAATGGAATTCCGCATCATTTGAGAGAAAATGTATACTAAGTTAGGAAACTGCTTGGGCCTGGCACTGTGGCTCAGCACTGGATTGTCTGCTAAAGGCCTGTCAGCATTACAGAAGTTTGCCTTTATCCCTGCCATCCTTGAGATTTCTCCACACAGCAGCTAGAGGTCCTAAGTTTGTCCTAGTCTTTGTTATGCAAACTAAAATCCTTAGCAAATACCTGTGCTGCCCCCTCGGTTCCTCAGTCTTTCCCCAGACAGTTGGAATCTTAGCAGATGGTCCATGATCACTGCTAATGTTTTCGGTTTTATTTCAGATGGTTTCAGTTATCTGAGGCGTCATTTAACTCCTGCGTCCACCTAACATGGACCAGGATCATAGGCATGCATCAACATGCAAGCTATTATTTTTGTCTTGAGGAAATATCAATGTTGCCCTGGGTGGTTTGGAACTGGTATGTAAACTGAACTGTACTGGAACTCAAATCTACCTACCTTTGCCTGCACACTCTTGGTTTCTTTATGAGACAGTCTTAGTGTATAACCCAGGTTGACCTCAATTACTGAGGTTAGTAGTTGGTCTCACAACTTAACAAGGAACGGGTACATAACTGATGGATTTTGCCACTGAAGTATATGCTTAAATGGTGTACCAGAGAGCACACCTTTTATCCACACACTTGGGAGGTAGGCAAGGGAATCAGCAGTACAAGCCTGTCTCAAAAAAGGCTGTGAGTGCCGGGCTGTGGTGGCGCACGCCTGTAATCCCAGCACTCGGGAGGCAGAGGCAGGCGGATCTCTGTGAGTTCGAGACCAGCCTGGTCTACAAGAGCTAGTTCCAGGACAGGCTCCAAAACCACAGAGAAACCCTGTCTCGAAAAAACCAAAAAAAAAAAAAAAAGGCTGTGAGTAAGGCTCTGCATTAAGTGCCTTAATTATACACCTTTCCATCTCAGTGCTTAGGCAGAGGCTGTGAATCTGAGTTCAAGTCCAGCCTGGTCTACAGAGAGCTCTAAATCTGCCTCCCAGATTCCTGTTCTGAAGGCATTAGATGAGGTCAGTTTCTTGGATTTGACTTTATATTTTGAGATAGTAACAGGCCTTGAACTGACATTTTGGAGGATGGAGACTGCTGGTGTTTGCCACATCAACTTTACCCAGTTTATATGGTGCTCGGGAAGTGTGCCTTGTGTGTGCTAGGCAAGCACTCTTCCAACTAGAAGAAATAACTTCTGGGTGAGAGAGTCTTGCTGTGGATCCCACGCTGGCCTCAGGCAGCAGCCCTTGTGTGTGATGGATTGCATGTATGTACCATCACACCTGGCTCAGGAGATATTAAGATGTCTTTTAGTTATTTTTACCCCAATTGCAGGGTATTATACATGATAAGTTCCTTGCATCGTTATCTAGGAGCGTATTTGTCCACAAAGAGCTTCATTCCCTTCATTTCTGCGTGGTATGTGGATGTAATGTAATTGGATGCGGCCCTATGTTAGTCTCTAGAACAGTGCTTCTCAACCAGTGGGTCGAGACCCCTTTGGGGGTTGAAGGATACTGTCATAAAGGTCGAATATCAGCCATCCTGAATATCAGATGTTTACATTATGATTTGTAACAGTAGCAAAATCACAATTGTAAAGCAGCAATGAAAATAACTTTATGTTGGGGTTACCACAACATGAAGGCAGCAGCACTAGCAAGGTTGAGAACCCTGTGTGAACTGCAGAAGCTCCCCCTCAGAGTGACCCAGTTATAAAAGATCCAAGGGAAAGGCAGTGTTCTCTGCTAGTGAGTGCACCTATTTTTTGTGTGTGAGGGGTTCGAGACAGCGTTTCTCTGTAGCTTTTTGGAGCCTATCCTGGAACTAGCTCTGGTAGACCAGGCTGGCCTTGAACTCACAGAGATCTGCCTGCCTCTGCCTCCCAAGTACTGGGATTAAAGGCGTGTGCCGCCACCGCCCTGTGCGGAACACTTAATATTCTTTTTTTTATATTTATTATGTATACAATATTCAATCTGTGTGTGTTTGCAGACCTCGTTACAGATGGTTGTGAGCCACCATGTGGTTGCCGGGAATTGAACTCATGACCTTTGGAAGAGCAGGCAATGCTCTTAATCACTCAGCCATCTCTCCAGCCCCAACACATAATATTCTTGAGGGGATCAGAGTTCAGTTCCCAGCATCCTTATCAGGCAACTGGCAACCACCTGAAACTCTAGCTCCAGGGGATTCCTCACCCTCCTCTGGCCTTCAAGAGTATTTACATTTATGTCCACATCCTAACACCCAACACTTACACAGAAATAAGATAAAAGTAAACTTGGACTTAAACTCAAAATAACAATTTTAGGGGCTGGAGAGATGACTTAGATTAAGAGCACTAGCTGTTCTGGAGGTCCCTGGTTCAATTCCCAGCACCCACACAGCAACTCACAATGTCTTTAACTCCAATTCCAGGAGATCTGATGCTCTCTGGCTTCATGGGCACCAGGCATGTACATAGTGCGCTTACATGCATGCAAGCAAATCACACACAAAAATAAATTTAAAAAAAATTAATTTTAAGTCATTGTCCAATTTTTTCCACAGAGTTTGTACCAATTTAAACCACCAGCAATGTATGAGGGGACTTTTGTTTTTTATACCCGTCATGTTATCAAATTTTGGGATCTCTCAGTCTTGTGGAAAAGGCCGTTAGATACTTTTATTGTTGCCCTCTGAGTGTGGCAAAAACAACACCACATGTCTACCAAAGGTTCCTGCCACCAGAATACACAGCTAAACTCTTGTTTAGGTAGAAGCCTTACGAGTTATTCTGCAATTCAGGACAAGAGTAGACACTCCTGGGCTGGAGAGATGGCTCAGTGGTTAAGAGCACTGCCTGCTCTTCCAAAGGTCCTGAGTTCAATTCCCAGCAACCACATGGTGGCTCACAACCATCTGTAATGAGATCTGGTGCCCTCTTCTGGCCTGTATACTTAATAAATAAATAAATCTTTAAAAAAAAAAAAAAGAGTAGACACTCCTTCCCTGCTTTCCCAAACTGCACATAACCATAGAAGCCCAAGCTCCAAGCCGAGCAATTGTGGTGCATGCCTTTAATCCCAGCACTTGGGAGGCAAAGCCAGGCAGATCTTTGTGAGGCCAGCCTGGTCTACAAGAATTAGTTCCAGGGACCAAAGCTACACAGAGAAACCCTGTCTCAAAAAAAAAAAAAAAAAAAAAAAAAAGAAAGAAAAGAAAAGAAGAAGCCCAAACTCCAGAAGGCACAGCTACAAATTGAGAGCTGCTCAACCCTGCCAGCCGGAGGAAGATTTCTCTGCGCTAGGGTCTACCACTTGCCCTGCACTCCTGGAAGCATGGCCTATGTTGACCCTGATTATAAAATAAGCAATGGGTCTTATGTTTTCAGTAACCTGTTACTACCTTTTAATTTAATTAATCTATTTCTCATTTTCAAGACAGTGTTTCTCTGCACAGTCCTGGCTGTCCTGTGTAGACCAGGTTGTCCCTGCCTCCTGTGTGCTGGGATTAAAGGCATGTGTCTTATGTGTGTTGGTGTTTTGCCTGCGTGTCTGTATGTGTGAGGATGTTGGATTCCCTGAACTGGAGTTACAGACAGCTATGAGAACCATGTTGATGCTAGGAATTGAACCCAGCTCCTTTGGAAGAGCAGCCAGTACTTCTAATCACTGAACCATCTCTCCAGCCTAATTTTTATGTTTTTATAGTTATGAGTATTTTGCCTGCATGTGTGTATGTATTCTTCATGTATGCCTGGTACCAGCAAAAGGTATCAGATT